AACTCCGCCTTAACCAAGCCTTCCTGATCACCAACCCCACACCGCCAAAGGGGTGAAGCAACAGGGGCTCCCCGCACCCTTCTGTAAGCCCTGCTCACCGCGTCTTCCTCCTGCCTGCCCATTCTGGGAAGATCACAGCCTCAACTCCTCTCCAGCTGCCCTCGCTACAAGGGCCCTAAGGAGTCAACCAGCAACCGGCTCCCATCCTCAAGCCCTTGAGTCTGGGCATCCTAGGGAAGAAGACTCTTATTCCTACCAGCGGGGTAACGGGTTAAGACGGAAGCCAGACTCGGGAGGGATGGAATAGGGAGACGCTGAAGCCAGATCCCAGAAAGGACTACTAGAGGGCAGAAATTGGAGGCACTGTAAGGATCCCCCCCCAACTAGAGTAGCCCCAGAAAAGCGACGAAGTGTGTCCAGTGCCCTAAGCTAAGAGTCAAGGACACCTGAGTTTAACGCTTAATTCTGGCTCTGCTATAATAAGTTGGACGACATTAGACAAGTACCTTCTCTCTCTGAGTCCTTATTTCCTCCCCTCTAGGCTGCCAGAGTAGGGAGGCAAAGTCACAAAACACAGGCGTGCTGATTGACTGCAGGCCGCCAAGCCCTTTGTGCCATCCACCCACTGATGTTTCTCCTGGACACACAAGGAACTGATATTTTTTTTCAGGCATTCATTCCTGGGTACATCCATAAAAGGAGCAAGTATTTGGAAACTAATGTGTGTCATGTATAAAAACAAAATATATTTTCCTACCCTCAAGAAGCACAGTCTAACTGAGAAGACATACAATCTAATCTTTATAATAGAGTGTGACGAAGGGCAGGCATGGTCACTGTGTGTGTGTGTGTGTGTGTGTGTGTGTGTGTGTGTGTGTGTGGTCTCTCGCATCCTACTGTGTCACTAGGGTTGAGAAGACAAGCAATTCAGTCTTTATAATAGAGTATGACGAAGGGCAGGCATGGTCACTCTGTGTGTGTGTGTGTGTAGTCACTGTACCATCTTACTGTGTCACTAGGGTTGAGAAGACAAGCAATTCAGTCTTTATAATAGAGTGTGATGAAGGGCAGGCATGGTCACTCTGCGTGTGTGTGTGTGTGTGTGTGTGTGTGTGTGTGTGTGTGTAGTCACTGTACCATCCTATTATGTCACTAGGGTCTTTGGAATACGATAACTGTTCTTCCTTACCTGTAGGGAACCAAGGCATGTGGGGGACAAGCAGATGCCTCTGAAGTCACCTGCCAGCACCCACAGAATTACTCCTGGAATTCAGATCTTTCTTTGGAGAAAAAGTCCATGAAGGGAGGTGACACACATCTGAGGCAAGAGGATCAATATTTGAGGCCAGCCTGGACTACATACCAAAACACTGTCAGAAAAAGAGTATGTTGGCCAGTCAGTGATGGCCAACAGAGGCAAAGAGGCATAACTTCTCAATTAGACTGTGCTTCTTGAACACACAGATCTCTGTGTGTTCAAGGCCAGCCTGCTCTACAAAGGAAGATCCAGGGCAGTCAGGACTATCACACAAAGAAAACCAAAAAAAAAAAGAAAAAAGAAAGAAAGAAATAGGGGCTAGAGAGATGGCTTAGAGGTTAAGAGCACTGGCTTCTCTTCCAGAGGTCCTGAGTTCAATTCCCAGCAACCACATGGTGGCTCACAACCATCCATAATAAGATCTGGTGCCCTCTTCAGGCCTGCAGACATACATGCAGGCAGAATGTTGTATACATTAATAAATAAATAAATAAATAAATCTTTAAAAAAAAGAAATAAATAACTTGGGGGGGGTAGGGTGGAACGTTGGGGCTATAGTTGAGTGGTAGAACAATTGTCTAACGAGTGAAGCTCTAGTTTCAATCCCCAATACTGGGAGTCCCTTTTTAGGGACAGGAATGGTCTTGAGGCAGGTTTTTGTTTGTTTGTTTGTTTGTTTGGGTTGTTTTTTGTGTTTTGTTTTTTTCTGGTTCTTCGAGACAGGGTTTCACTGTATAATTTTGGAGCCTGTCCTGGCACTCGCTCTGTAGACAAGGCTGGCCTTGAACTCACAGAGATTCGCCCACCTCTGCCTCCTGAGTGCTGAGATTAAAGGCGTATGCCACCAATGCCGGGCTTGAGGCAGTTTTGATATCTGGTCTTTGGGGACAGGAAGTAAGCATACTCTCAGGTGCCTGGGAACTCTCATGCCTCTTCTGGACCGGGAGAGCCGCTCTCTCTATCCCCACTCCTGCTTCTACCTCCATTTTCCTAGTCCTCCCTTTCCAAGTGAGGACGGGCGGCTTTCTGTCCACAGACTGATTTGAGGTATCAACCTGAATGACCCTTTTCACATTAGAACGTCTATGCTTTTCTCGACCAGGATGTAGTATCCAGAAGGGAGACCTTCCCATTCACACAAGAGGGATCTTTCTTGGTGGCTCACTCCAGTGGCTCCCACCCACACTGTTTGGGAAGCCTGCCTCACGGACATTGGCCTTTCCTAACCGCCAGGGACTCACCATACTTTCAGTTTAATAATGACCTTCCTCCTGAGGCCTATCTACTGTCTCTACCTCAGGGGACAATGAAAGAGGGACAACTTCCTTTGGTCAACTCCAGAAGTCCCAAAAGACCCTCCCCATCTTCTCTGGTCACAGCCAATACCCTTCCCTGGATGCA